GGAAGGCCAAGTTCTACGAGAAGATCCTGAAGGTGCTGCGGCCCAACCCCGAGTACTTTGCCGTGGGCTACTACGGGCAAGGCTTCCCGCCGTTCCTGAGGGTGAGTGCCCCCTGCCCCCAGCTCTGCCCCGCCAAAGGCCCGGCCTCGGGCTCTCGGGAGCACAGCTGGCCGTGCCGGACGAGCCCGGCTGGGCACGAGGCTGATGCCGGGGGCGGGAGAGGCGCGGGCTCTGGGGCCTCCAGTCATCCACCCCCTCTCCCGCCCCAGAACAAGGTGTTCATCTACCGGGGCAAGGAGTACGAGCGCCGCGAGGACTTCGAGCTGCACCTGCTGAGCCCCTTCCCCAGCGCCGAGAAGCTGCAGAGCACGGCCCCGCCAGGGCCCGACATCACCGACTCTCCCGGCCAGTGTATCCTCCCGTGGGCGCGGGCAGGGGCGGCACGGGGTGGGCTGGGGAAGCTTCACGGGGTCCCCATACCCCAGCCCCCGGGGTCCTGCTGGCCGGGCCCTGCCCTACCGGGTGCCCTTGGCCCCGCGTGCTTGCGCCCATGCCTGCTCGGCGGCTCCTTCACTCCCGCAGACATCCAGTGCTTCACCGTGCAGCCGGTCGAGGAGCCCAGCGAGCGCTTCAAGGACAAGAACGTCCCCGAGCAGATCCTCAAGTGAGTGCCTGGCTCCCTCCCGCCCGGCCCCGACCTGCAACCCTGGGCCTTGCCCCGTGGGAGCGGGTCGTCCTGCAGGTGCTGGGCGCGGGGTCCACGCGGCCACCTGCGTCCTGGACCCTGACCCTCTGCCTCGGCTGTGCCCCGTCCCCCGGATCCTCTGCCTCCTCCACAGCTTCTACAAAGCCAACCACATCCAGAAGTTCAGCTACTCCCGGCCCTTCCGGAAGGGCCCCAAGGACCCGGACAACGAGTTTGCGGTGAGCAGAGCCCGGGGTGGCCGGACGGGTCAGGGAGCTGCGGAGAGCTCGGCCAGAGAGGCCGGGTCGTGCGGGAGGGGCCGGGCAGCCTCTCTGGACAAGGCGCCTGACGGCCGAGTCTCCCCCCAGACCATGTGGATCGAAAGAACAACCTTCACAACGGCCTACCCGCTGCCCGGCATCCTACGCTGGTTCGTGGTCATCTCCACCGTCACGGTGAGCCTGGAGGGGGTGGGCTGGGGGCCCACGACAGGATCAGCCCCGTCCAAACCAGCCCAGACAAACCCAGTGTCCAGCACGACACAGTCGCCCCGACAGCCCCAGGCATCGCCCCCACCCCCGGGATGCAGGGGGGCTGCGGCCGCCAACGTCCTGCTGCTGCCAGGGGGGTTGTGGGTGCTGCAGAGCACCCAGGCCCAGGCCGTGCCCCGCTGCAGAGGAAGGCAAACCCCCCAGTCTGGACCAGGCTGAGCTGGGGGGAAATCCCTTCCTGCCCCAGTGCGGCGTGGGGCTGAGCCTAAGTGTGGGGGCAAGACCCCCCAGCCAGGACCCCGTGGGGTCGGTGCAGCAGGAGCATTGGCGCAGCCCGGCCCCAGCGCCTCTGGGAGAGGATTAAAACCCCCGACACCTGGCGCTGAAAGTGGGGGACAACCAGCAAGGCCCAGAAGCACCCGCACCCGCACCCGCACACACCCCGGGCTCCGTGCAAGGGCCCACGCGCCCGGCCCCTGCGGGTTGCAGAGCCCATCGCAGCCTGGCCCGGGCGAGCTCCTGGCTGCAGGACCTGGCCTGTGCTGCCACGAGCCCTCTCCTCTGCTCCCGGCCCAGACCAACATCAGCCCCCTGGAGAACGCCATTGAGACCATGAGGAAAACCAACGAGAAGATCCTGGCCGAGATCCAGCGGCACCAGGCGGAGCCCGGGCTGCCCGTCAACCCGCTCTCCATGCTGCTCAACGGCATCGTGGACCCTGCCGTCATGGGTGGCTTCGCCAAATACGAGACGGTGCGTGTGGCGGGCTGGGGCACCCCAGCGCTGCTGGTGCCTGCGGGTCCCAGCCACGGCCAGCGCGGGGGAGGAGCCCGTGGGGTTGATTGTCCGTGGGACGTGGTGCCCGGTGCCCCCCGCTGCAGCCACGGCTGCGGCCACGGTCCTGCTCCTTTCTCCCAGAGCAAGTTGCACTGGCTCCTGGGCTCTGTGTGGCCCATGGCCCTGGTAATGTGGCCTGGCCTGTGTTGCGGGCTGTGCACGCTGGGCATCTTCCCACGTGTCACCCTGGCCTGCGCCTGGCGCGTTGACCCCCTTCCATGGAGCTGCACCTCAGACATTACCTGCAGCCGTGCACCCGCCTCGTGTGCACGGATCCGGCGTACACCTGTGCAAGCCGGGCCTCTCCGTCAGCTCGGGCACGGCAGACTGGGGAGGGGGCAGGCAGCACAGCAGGTTGGTCAGGGAGCAGAAAGCAGATTAGCAGAGCGGACGGGGAGCAGAAAGGGAGCTCAGAGCAGAGCAGCAGATTGATTAGGGTGCACAGGGCAGGGGGCAGAAAGCAGAGCAACAGATCAGGTATGGAGCAGAGGGTGGGAAGCAGCAGCAGATCAGGCAGGGAGAACAAGACAGGGAACACGGGGCGAGGGGCAGAAAGCAGGGCAGCAGATCAGACGGCGCAGGATGAAGAGTGGAAAACAGCAGCAGAGCAGGCAGGGAGCAGAAAGCAGAGCAGTATATCAGAGTGCAGGGCGAGGAGCAGAAGGCAGGGAGCGAGGTTGCGGCTCTGCAGGCTGCCCCGTGCCCAGCCCCGTGGGGCAGCACCGGGGGCGGCTCGGCTGGGCTGGGCTGGGCTGGGCGGGCGGGTGGAG